TAAATTTTTTATATGTAGTAATCATTTAGTTAAGTAATTTATTATCAGTATTATTATTATAAATTTTATTCAATGATAATTATTAATATTTTAAATAACAGCTGTACCCTTAAACAGAGAGATTCAATTTTGATAATAAATATATGTCACAGAAGTCATTGAAAATTTATAATTTAATGGTTTTTAAACAAAATATTAGTTAAACTGGCATTCTTTTGTACTCACAATCAGGTATAAGGTTGAAATATGTATAACTTCATCAATCTTTCAGAAAAAATAAAATTTAAAACACCTTTCACTTGGTAATTACTCGGCTATGAGTTTCATTAAGCTGTTGAAGCTATTCTAATGTTTTATTTATTGATTTTTTACTTTTGTTTGGAGGAAAAAACTATAATAAAATCATTTTGCAAAGATTTACAAGGATGTTAAAATTTTTTTAATGATTCATACCTCCAATAAATATATCTCTGAAAATCAATCTTTTAAAAAAAAATCATTGAATATTTAAAAATAAAGTTACTTCCGCCATTTTTATTATTTTTTTTTATACCAAATTTGTTTCTATGTTGAATAGAAAACGAATTCATTGAAAAGTTTGAGCGATAAAATCTCTTACTCAACTTTAGTTCGCAAACTAGATTATTCATTTCTTTCCTCTTTACATCCACACGTATCTGGAGATGAAACGCACACCTTCAAGTTTGAGGAACACTCCCGAGTCTTTTATTACCACCAAGTTGTGAAAGACGCCGCCCGCGGTTTTGCACTATAACTTGCCTAAGTTTAATACACCCGCCCGTGTCGGAGCGAAGCAGCCACGCCACTGCAGCAGTAAAATTTAATTAGCAGCTCGGTTTGCACATTCTCCCCTGTGTTTTGGGATGCTGCAACCCAGCCATGAGTGATCCGCTCTCGCTGCGTTCACCCCAACCGGCAAAACAGTTTTGCCGCCAACCGCTGGGAGGCGAAACAGCAAATTGGCACTGTTTTGCTTAAACATGGAAATTGCGTAATTCTATACACCAGTTTTATTCCAATAGTCCCCAAGCTATTCATTTATTTTTTCTCATTCTTGTTGTTTTAGTTTTAATTCCGGTAAAAATTAAATTAAATCTTTTTGAATTTTGTGTTGATGACAATATTATCAAGGGGTGATTAATATTAATTATTCTTGCTTCAGAAATCAACAAGTCATAGAATTAAATACTGTTATTTCAGACGTCACAGCAAATAAAAAATAAAATTTACTATTTTTAATTATCTACGCAACAGACGATGTATTTTTTTTTTCTAAAAAAATTTGCAATATTTTTTTGTAATTTTGTAATATTTATTGAATAATTTAGGGCAAAGTGGGACTTTTGCTTGATTAATATTTGAATTGAAAGAAATTTTCTACTCTCTACAGCAACCGAGAATTGAATTATCTATATTTTTCTTCATAAATTTTACTGAAATACTTTTACTTGCCATTATTAGTGTTTAGTAAATTCCTAGTAACCATTCTCCATTAAATGCTCTTGTGACCCTATATGGAATTCATATTATTCTGTAATATTTATTTTCCCCCTTTTGGAATCAATATTTTTTCAATTTAAATGCAAAACTTGTTGATCTTTTTGTTCCTCAGTATCGTCCTTTTTGCTGGAAAATAAATTGAAGTGTTTCCTCTCCTAGTCCTTTTGCTACGTCTAGAAAAACCCAATCTTTCACGCCTGCACTCAAGAGCGCCGCAAATTGAAGAGCAATCACATTATTTCACTGAAATGCACTCACGCCAATTATTTCCCGAAGACGAGGATGGTGCTCGAGCTGCAAATTCGTCTGTCAACAACAGCAGCCTTGGAGAGAGACAGAGAGAAACACCCACCACTTTCCCGCGGCAATCGCGAGAAATATAAATACATATATTTGCATGCACAAATATTTGCCCAGTTGATGATCCATGCTAAGCAAATAGTCGAGAGCTCCGCCCTTGCAATAGAGCGCTGTTGCGAAGGGGTGAGATTATTTCTCACGTTTATTTGCAGTATGAGTGAAATACATAACCAAATCATTTTAAATTAAGAATTAGAATCCTAGCCTAAATTTATTTTTGATATAAAATTTATTATAAAAACAATAGTTGTTGGCAATAATTGCTGATACCGTGAACAATTTTGAGTCAAAAAATTTAATTTCTGCACTTTTAAATTAAAATTTTTTTACTTTTAAAATATAATTTTACAAAAAAAAAACAGTGATATAGATTATATAATATTTTGTTGTATATCTTTACTTTTTACTGTTAAATATAATTTTTAATTAAATAGCATTCGTTAAGTTTGCAAAGGAAATAAATAATCTCTCTTATTTCCTTCTCTATGAATTTTTCAAAATTTGTGTGTCAAATAGATTTTTTCTACTAAAATAAGTTTTGTGAGCGATAAATCAATTGCAACTTATATGATTCCCATTGATTCCCATATTTAACAGATTGATAAAAAAATGGTTTCCGACTAAAGTTGTTTTATTATTTTATTCAAATTTGGAAAATATAATTACAATTTATAAGTTAACAATAACAATTTTACTGAATCTAGGAATGGTGTGGAATTTAACAAATGAAGCAGTTGCTTGTTCTGGGCGTATATTTACATTTATGGCGCATCTTAAATCGCAGGGCACCTCTTCTCTCTCTCGCTCTGCATCCATATCTTCACGAAACGCCGCCTAATGGCAATAATAGGGGCAATTAAATGGAAGAACCAACAAACTTTGCACCCACACAAGCAGGCAGCTGGGTGTGCACGCATTAAAATAAATTATTTCCATTATTTCATTCGAGGGGGTGTTCGCGCGAAGATTGCGAGCGAGAGAGCTCTCTCTGTTAAATAAGTGTGCAGGCGAAGAAGCAGTGCACGCAGAAGAGGAAAGAGAAGAAGAAGAAGAAGGACGTTAAGAGTTATAGATAATTATTTTGCGAGCAGTCTCCGGGCGGTATGCGAAATTACTTCGGGGAATTCGGGAGAGCGGCGGAAAAGAAAGGCCATTCCGCCAGCACACGCCGAGCAGCCGCAGCTTGCCGTCCGGGCCACGACGCGCCACAGCGCCACTTGACACGTGGGATGCTCAAATTATTGAAAAAGTTTGATTAAAGTGAGAAGAGAGAAAATTAAGTTTTGATGTTGGAGAAGAAAAAACGGAAAAAACGCTAATTAATGATTACCTCATCAATATCCAACATTAACAAATGACCATTTTTCTTCTATCAAAAGAAATTTTATTACACATCACGTATTGATCCTCTTTTATTAATATTCCTCTTGCTCTCTCTAATATTTTCTTCAAAAGGTGTGAAAAATATAAAACTCTTTTCATTTAAATTTTAATCTACGATTTACTATAGTTTATTCCCCCAAGGAAATAAAATTTTAAATGTTTTCTTCATTATTAAAATGAGATTTAATTTTTACAAGGGCGAAGAAGGGTAACAAAGTTCAGTATTATTAATTTATCATTATTATATTATAAATAATTTCTACATTAATTTTAATTCATTATAAATACAACTCTAACGTCCAATGTGAACAAAAAAAATTATTAAAAAAATTCATTTAAAACACCCCACGCGGCCGCGACTGATGATTATATCTTTTAAAATAATAATTCTATATCAAAATCAAAACAGTAAACACAAGGGATTGTGTTTCAAACAGCAGGAGCAGTTCCGCATCGATTGTATTCTGCATGCACCCAGGCGGCCGCTGCTATACTATTAACGTGCATATAAATTAGGCCCATTAGCCGCCGTTGACCAGCAAAGCTCAGAATTTATCATTGGATCGGGTCTAGCTGTTTGCTCCGTAGGCAGTTAGATGCATTTAAATGAATTAATATATGTACGCTCGCTCTGTGGCCTCCTGCGGCAGCTGCAGCTGGTACATATTGGAAATTACATAGGGGGGTGGACAACCCCTTCCCCCTACGAGTCGCCACGCACCTGGTCCTCTCGATGCATGTGTTGAGTTAAAAAAGCAGAGCGTTGATAAAAGTGTGGTGGAAAAATTTTGCTATTGAACCAAATTTTTACATTTTTGGAGATTATTTTAGTTGTAACTGATTTTATACATTAGAGAAAGAAAGTCTCTTTTATAAAAGTGAGTATTTAAAAAGGTTCTGAGAAAAGCCTACATTTTGTTGGAATATATTTATCATAACCGGATCATAACAAAAAATAAAAAATAGTAAAAATCATTTTATGAGAGTTATTAAGCAAAACAATTTTGTTAATTGTAAATACTAAGCTGTACAAAACAAGCCTTTTAAACTATTTAAAAAAAATTCAAATTTGGTGTTTATGAATTTTTACTTTAATTTATATTAAAATTATTTTTTTCCTAAATTTATTTATAAGAAAATAAAATTTTGAGAAAAAAGCACTTATTCAAATTAGAATATAATTTTGTAGCTTAAATTTTGAGTATGATTAATTGAAGCCACATAATCCCGCATAATCCATTAGTATCTTAATTAATTACATTGATACAAACATAAGATTTGTGAAACATTTTTAATACTTTGTTATTTCTTAAAACAACCACCTAATCAGTTTTTCAATCTGTTTCATTTCACAAAATTGAAAATCAGGTTGTTATTTTTTCACTATGGGAACGGAGTGGGTGAAATGTTTGTTGGTGACGTAACCTCTGAATATACCCTAAAGAGCTTTGATTGAAAGCCACACGTGTTTAATCACATGGGCGGCCACATAAGCATGTGTTCCGTTTTCACATAGAGCCCGTCGGACGTAAGAGATGTCCCCGCTCGTTTTTTTCTAAACAAACCATCAAAACTTTGGAAATGCATACAAATATTTTCAGCTTTTCGTGGAATTATCTTTGGTGTGTGCACCGTTGCTAGGATAAACAAAACTTGATAACGGCACGCAAAAAATTTCACCGACACGGCGTTGGAAAAAAGCGACAGTTTGCATAAAATTAAAATTGTTCACTCACCCGATCCGGTCTCGCTCATTTTCTAGTCAAGAGATTTTCAAACTGTCGTTCACCGGGGCAGAAAGTTCAAGCTGATAAGAGCTGGGGCTTCCGCGCCAAGGGTGGGTGACACCCTGCGACGTTCTTCTTGTTTAATGCCAAACGGAAATACACACGCCTCTGTCTACGCCGCCGTGGGGTCTAGCGTTCGCGATCGATCCTCTACTCTTTTTAGCATTATACCTCTCGCGCGCGCGATATCACCGTCGTGGTAAATAGTTCGGCTCGGCAAAAAAGCTACTGCCAGATTGCAGATAGGAGCAGCCAGCGTAAATAAGATTTTCGCCTCCGCCTAGGGTAGTTCCGAGATGTACTTCCAACATAATATGGCTTGCAATTTTTTTTGTAAACATTGTCAACTTATATTGAAACTTTTGGTTACACAGAAATAAACATAATCAGATAGAAAATTAAAGTACTCTAAAGAACTTAGATGGTCTCCTTATTTTTTACAAAAGAAATATTTATTGAAAATCTTATTTGAAATTTTAAGAATAAAAAAAATACTGTATATATATCATTGTATTTATATAAAAATCAATGTGGATACTACGTGAACTATGTCCTGAAAACATTGTGCCAGGTAAGTTTCTTTGTAAAAGTATTTTAATAAAATTAATAATATAGATTTTTTATTTTGATGGCTTTATGATATTATTTGAGCTTCTAAAAATCAAGAAAAAATACATTTTCGCTTATTTTTAACATGAATTTATAAATTATTTTTTAACAATTATCATTTATAAAGTTTCAAGTTTTATGATTTTTTGTAAATTAAATCAACATTTTCACACTACTTAAACACATATAGATCAAAATTCTGATTTTTGTTTTTTTAAATCTCATGATTAAGACAGAATTATGGAGAATTTAATTTATCTTCAATTTTACGTTAATACTTCATTTTAAACTGTTTTGGAATAATTTAGTAAAAAACATCAATTATAAAATAACCAGCCACTAATAACTTAATTTATAAATATTGATTCATAAAAAAATCTGTCCTTTTTTATTTAAGGTTTCTTCCACCTACGTTGCTTACAGGTGCGTACATCGTGTACATACTTGAGAGAACGTGGGTTGAAACTCCTCTTCACTTGTCTTGTTGGATAAACTTTTTAAGGGCTCCCAAATGACTTGTGAGATTTGAGAGATTTTATGGTTAGGATGTTTCAAGCAGGTTAGAGTATTTTTTTTTTTGCAAGTTTGAATGACAAACAAAGATAGCGGGAAGGATATTTAAAAAGATCAATAACATATTAAGCAAATTTTCATTTATATACCATTTAAAAGACGGAAATAAATATCCCTCAGTACAAATATTGAAGGTGATATCGAAAAGTCTAGCCTAGCCGAGTTTCTGTCGGCCATTGTCAAAATGCTATAAGTTTAATCCATTCAATCCATTTTTTCAAATTTTTTCAAGCCCGTTGAATATCTTTTTTTAATTCTTTCACTCTGTGTAAATAAAATTAATTTTTTTGTAAAATTTTAGATCATTAAAATAACATCAAGAAGATCACAACGTGTACAGAAAAAATTAAGTTTTTAGATCGCTATGAGGAATTCTATTAAAGCTCTCATTTTTAATAATAAATCTCCTGCCTTCAAAGAGTTTTTATGCTATTCAAAGTTCGCAGAAGACTTTTATTTAAATTTCCCTGTGTGCGAATCTATTGTCATACTTCAATAAAACGGAGTAACGCCCGCTCATTATGGAATCCAATCAATTGAAAACTACGAACAAAACTTTGAATCATTTCTACGCGAGGCAGCCGTTTGATTGCAACTGATGCACACGGACATCAAAAGCAAACCCGGCGAATCAATCTATTGTTAGCGCAGGAAACGGCGAAAAAAAACGAGAGAGAGGAAAAAAGCAGAGCGAGTACACATTTTGCGGCCGGCAGTATACGGCGGGCGTTCGCGGGGCGTCGGGGGAGTTGTGGGGGTGCGCGCGTGCGCCGGCGGTGGGTGTCGTGCCCCTGCCGGCGAGGGTTGGTGCTGCGAGTGTCGCAACCTTGCATCGCGCATCGCCCATCTGCCATTTAGTTGTCGCACACTCTAACGCAAGGTTGAGTTGTTCATTCCGTTTGTAGCCAAAGTCAGTTCTCCAAAAGAAACAACACCTAAAACCACGTCCACCTAACACACTCCACTCTCTCTCAGCGGTTTTGATTCGGTTGAGAGACAGAAAGCAAATCTTGTTTGTCCGGGCCAAGAAGAAGAAGAAGGACGTCATCCTCGTTGATCGGCTCTTTAATCGTTTCCAGCGCCCATTTTGCTTGTTTCGCCCCTTGAGGACCAACCACTTCTTCTCAGTTCCTTCCAATTGGTACGTTTATTTTTTTCTATTTTTTTCCAAACCGAAAAGTTTTCAATTTTCGCCGACACGTGTTTCTGCCTCTCTCTCTCTCTCTTTCCTTTGGCTCTTCTTTTGTTTTCAGCTTTTGATTTGGATTTTTCACAAGTGCCAATTTCGAATTCGTGGAAAATCGCGCCGGTTCGAACGGCGTTTCCGCATTCGGCGTTTTATATTTTGCGCTTGTTTTGTACGTGTGTAGCTCGAGTCTGCATGGCGGCGCTTACAACGCTCCTTCTCTTTCTCGCTCTCCAAATATTGATCAGCCTGCTCTGGTTTCTGGCGCTGCTCAACATGGCGTCCCGCCGCTCGCATTTTGTGGCCAAAACGCTTCGCCGAACGCGAACAATGTCTGCGAATCGCACGCGAATGTGGAAGCTTTCCAAGAGCCGATTTTTTAACGCCGGCCCTCTCGGTCTCGAGCGCAATTGCCGTTATCCATTATATGTTGGCTGGAAAATGCGTTTGGTTATTTAGCATTTTGCACAGCACGCTTCGTCTGGCAGGCATAATAATGACACACAACGCCACACTAAATATAACGAAATAAAAGCGGAAAGCTATTTTGAACCTTTGGCTTTTGCCGTATAAATAAATTACACGCGCGCCAGCAGTTCATGTATTGAATTTTTAAATAAATGCAAACATTTATATCAAATTTATTCAAAGATTTTTGAACACTTTTTATAAAATAATAATTAAATCTATCAAATTTTCAACGGTTATATAATAATGAACTTTGTGAGAACAAGCGAATAAATTTTCTTAATTAATGCACCTTCTCAGAAACTCCTCTTCTATAATCGGCTATAAAACTTACAACTCAATAAGTTGGAACGATGATATTAAATCGATGCCATCCAGGCGGTTCAAATCGGCGTCATCGTGCGCTGGTAGGCCTTCCCGCACGCTGAAATTTCGCCTTCGGTAATTAAGATAGGCATTTTGCCGGGCGCAAGTGTTCTGCGGGCTGCATACGTACTCAAGAGGCCCGTCTCAAGGAGCGAAGCGAAGACACGCGCTCGTTTGGCCGCACCGCTCTATGATGATATATAAATTAAAATTATTCAAGACTATATAAATATTGAACACTAAAATCTGAACTATAATTATTAATTTTTATAATAATATTTGAAGCGCGATTTACTATTCCTATTTTAATTTAATTAAATATTATTTTTGTGGTTTAGTTTCCCACATTGTTACAGATACATTTTTTACATGCAATTTTTTAAAACAATTTATTAAAAAAGGAACTGTTGGACAAATTGGCACCACCACTATTAAGAATTTTCTTAAAAGAGATCAAAAAGGCCCCGTCGCAGTGAGCCTCGGTTGAAATCAAGGAAATTTGTCTTTGTTAATTATTTTATCAATATAATGTCTACATCAAAATATGTTCATATAACAATAATTTTTTGCACCCTCTATTTCTTTTCAAATTTGTATAATTATTGTTTATTTATTTCAAAAGTTTGTTTTTATGAAATTATTTATAAAATTAAAAACATTGCTCTTTGTCTAAGACTTGAAATGTCATAAAAATTTTTAAACAAATTATTAGGCACCTTAAATGCAGTCTTAAACATTTCCTTGAAGATTATCCAAATTCCATTTCTTAACGTAACCATTTAATATAAAATATAGTTATAAATGTGTAAAATGATCATTTAAAATGGAGGTTTTTGTTTTGTATTATCGTTTTTTTCTGGTATTTTTCTATCGTCTTCTATTTTCTGAAAAGCAACTTCGCCTTTCCCACTTTGTCCCTGGATAATCACCACAGCGAATTCGACACGCTGGCAAACAAGAGGCGGCACATCACATAAGCCGTCTTTGCCACAACTTTCCCGGAGTCCGATTCCACCCCGAAGTGCAAAAGTCTCAAATTTCACCTGCAGCTCCTTCTTCCAATTTTCCGAACGAACGAATTTGTATAATTATTATTGATTTACGGAGCAACGGAGGTCCAATTATCTCGTGCTCAGCTGACAAATGAAAATGAATTGGCAACGTCGAGATATTAGCAACGTGGGGGTGAGATGATTCAGTGGGTATTATAGCGGGGGCTGCTGATTGTGCTGCCGAAGGGTGGGACGCAGCCAGCAGTGTTTGCGCTCGCACAGAGAGCGCCGCCAAATTGCGCGCTCCGTGGATGCAAGTGAGATTCAGGGCCTCTGGGAGAAAAGCAAAGTGCTCGACGATGAGTCAACTCCTGTGGGCCTGCAAAATGCGGCGCTCCACTCCCTAAAAAAGTTGCTCCGCCGAGTTCAAAATTAGCTATTTTGAGAGTCGACAGTGAAAAACTTTTTAGATAGAAAAGATTTTTTTATGTTTCGGAATAAAATTTCTCACTAGGGAGATGAGCAACGTTGACTTAAAAAGTTTGCAAACAATTTCCAACCCTCAAATGTAAGACAAAAACAAAATTTTATTCAAATCCTTACTAAATTATTTTTGCAAAATAACAACTATTTTCATTTGAAAATTTTAGACTTGAAATGTTTATAAATTTATGCCGGAACAGTTTAGAATATTCTAGATAGTTTTACAAAGTGGCTGAGTGCACTGCGTTTGCGTGCATTTTTAAAACAACACTGAAATATTTCTCTTCTCCTCTCTCTCGGCGAAAGGCAATTTTATTTTCTGCGCAGCTCCGGCGTGGATGCAAAGAAAGGTTGCCGTCGACTCCATCGCATTTTTAGGGTGTGGCACCACCACTACCACCAATGTCAAAGACACTACTTACTTATTCATGCTGATGTCACATGGCTTGGGAATACACCGCACTTGTTCTTTCCCAAACTCGTCGCACACCAGAGAAGAAGAACGAACGCATAAATATTTTTCCATTTATGTACATCGGCTTCGGGAGAAAGAGAAAGAGAGAGCATCGTCCGCGACGGCGTGCTTTCGGGAGAGAGGGTGATACGCATCCCCCTTTGGCGAAACTGCACGCAGCAGCCCCCTTATGTTTTACAACCCCCTGGTATATATCTGGCCAATTTAAACAACACGCGGAATCTCATTTTAAAAGTGGATGGCAACCTTCCCTTCCGTAATACACCATGATGGGCTTAATATCATAACGAGATAATATCAGAAATATTTATTTTTTCCATTGTTTTCTTATTATGAAAGCTTCATTAGAGAGAAAGAATAATCTGCCTCTGTATAAAAGCGTTTTAAAAATTATGAAGAAATAACTAAATAGAAATAGGGGAACAGGATTTCTTTGCAAAGAGAACAATTTGAATTTTCACAACAAAAGGAGGCATTTATTTGGAATAAAATTTATTTAGATCTTTTAAACAAGATTCCGTACAATGTTTTTCTTTTGTAAAATTCACGTTGATTTTTTTCAAAGTTTCAAACTGTTGTCGCTTTATTACTTTTTATATTTTAAACAAAGAGTTTAGTTAGATTAATAACTGCAAACTTAATATTGAAGATACGGGCTGATTTGATTTCAGTGGCCCAGAAATAAACCATAATATAACGTGCCATTGTTCATATTTCAATTAACTGAAGGCTGATGAGAATATATATGGGCACAGTCAGCATTTCCCAAATTGTATTCAATTTCCAACCCATCAGCCCCTTTCGTGATGTAACAGCATTGACGCAAACACGGCTAAAATATCCGCCAAAACCGAACGTCTAAGTCACATTGTGGGAAACGAATCGATCTTCGGAGGGTCAAGCGAAGCTTTCGAAGCAGAACCGCGAAAATACTCAGCGTCGCCATGCATGTGTGCGTCCAATTAATCACGCGCCAACTGTGCTGGACTAGCTGGAGATAGAGGCGATTAGGCAGGCCCGCTACACCTTTTAACAGCAACCCTGCTTACAGCCAAATTTGCCGTCCAACGTAACTTGCTAATTTTCGCTCTCGAGTTTTGTGGCTTGTTTGCTCTCGAGCCACGCGCACGTCGTGCCGCGTTGAAAATCAACAAACATGAAATATGAAACACGTTCTGCATCTTGTTCTCGGCGGCTAATTGGATTCCAGGCGGCGAAGTTGAGCAAAGTTTCCATCTCGGCTGCGAAACCGCTGAGGATGAATGGAAAGTCTTAAAGGATATGAATTAATACCCTGGCTTTGAATTGCAAATTTTTTACGCGTCAGAAGCAATTTCCGTGAGAGCCGAGAATAACTATTAAAATTGAATTTGAACGGTAGCTAAAAGAAAATCATCATCAATATTTCAATTAAAGGGAAGCACTCCAGAGGCTTCTCCTTGTGGTAGCAGAATATAAATATTTCAAGAGTTTTATTTGCCAAGTAATTAACTTCCAGTTTAGTTTGCCAATCGTGAACTTTGGGAGCTTCAAGCGCGGGAAGTTTCTTTAAAATCACAATCAAGAGCACACATTTTTTTTACAAAAGAATTAAAAAATATAGAGAGAAAAATGTAAAAATGATGTTACAAGTTAGATTGTTAGTTTCATAATCTAAGAAATTTTGTACGTTCCTTACAATAAAAAAAAATCTTTGTTAAAATGTGCCTTTTCTGAATGTAACAATAAATCTAGTATAATAAAATTTTGAGAACTGTTAAATTAATCCAAGAAACCTAAGCAATACGATGGCCTGCGAGAGATTTAAAATTCAATAAACTTTCACAACTTCCTATGTAGATATATTATAAATTAAAAAACTTCATGGTTTTCATACTTATGTTATTTTTATTGTTTTGTCAATAAGATTAATTAATTATTAAATCTCTCAAATAAATCTACTTTAATGGTAAAATTATCAATTACAGCATTAAAAACATAATTGTATAATAATGGTGAAAGCAGCATTTATGCAAAATTATTTTTATTTTAAATTTTTTCTTTGAATTTTGAAGTGCAAAAATGGTTATCCTCGTCGGATGCGTTCCTTCAAATTTAATTAATGAACCAACCACTCAGAGGATGATAAAACAGTGACGACAGAAAAAAAACCCAGATTCCAATTGTAACAA